AAGGGGCTGCTGCCTGCAGTGAGTCCCTGGTTACCTGCCTTCGGACCCGCAGGTGTTGAGTTCAGAGGATCCGGACTGCCCCCAGCTGATGTCACAGACAAACAGCGAGGAACAGAGAACCTCTGCAGGGCTCTGTGACAGAATTTGGCACATCCTGGTGTAGTGGGCGATGATCTGAGTAAGCAAGCAGCGGTAGAAGTTGCTCCTGGGCCGCGCAAGAGATCAGGAGCAGAACACTCCTTTGGCTCCCAATTCCGTGTGTGGTTGTGAGGCTTAAATCTTCCTCTGGGGGGTGGATGGCACACGGGTGCCAGGGACAGCACAGGCACCATGGTGCCCTGTGACTGCCAATTAATAACTGAAGTGCTCTCTTACATCATTTATTCGGTGCTCTCTTACATCATTTATTCGGTGATCTCTAATTTAATTGCACTGTGAAATATTAACTGTGAAGGTTTGCTTTACAAAACACATAGGATGCCTGCTGTGGCTTTGTCTTGATATCCTTCCAAATGAGTGAGAGCGGTCTTAAAATTTACCGTGGTACTCAGCTCTGGCTCTGAGTGTAGGGCTTTGGGTAAGCTGCCAGCTGAGAACAAACATACTGTCAATAAATGATAGTGTCAATGATCATAGCATCATAGAACTCTAAATAACTGAAATATAAAATTACTGACCTAAGAGTGACATGTTGTCACTGTTTGCCAGAGAAGCAAACATGACACTCATCTTGGGAAGAGCTTTAGACATACTCCAGGAATCTACAGATCAGTCAGTTTAGGTTCTGTGCCAGGAAAATTGTCTGCTATCCTAATAAAACCCCAGCATTTTTAGAGAGAAGAATGAACAGGATAAATGGACAGAGATAAAGGAGTCCCAGGAATACTCAGAAAAGGGATGTGATTACTGTGACACACAGGCTGTATAGAGCTGTCTGAGGCTGGTGCTTTCCCTTTGCTGTGTTTTTTGCTAACATGGATTTTGTCAGTTCTGCACTTCTGCCTGTTGCAGAGGTTTTAAAGGTGACTTTTGTGTGTGGTTCTTTAATACTGGAACCTTGAACAAGACAGCTCAGACAAGAGCTTCTCTTATCCTTGTGTTGATACCGGGGCAGGCTAAACGGGAGCAGTGGTTGATTTGCTGGAGTGTTCCTGAAATATAAAATTACCCCCAGGCACTGGTCCATGCCAGCATTTATGGCTGCAGGAGGTTCCAGGGCTGAAATTGTGGCACAGCCAGACCCCGATGGGCCTGCTTGCATTCTTTACAATGATTTAATGGATGTTGGTTCAGGCCCAACACAATTCCTTATTTCCTCTCATACCCTTTTGAACTCTGAATTTAATTCAATATATTTGAAGGCCAGCCTGTTCATAATTTAAATGAGAAAATACATGTTCTGAGACTTTGGTGAAACAGAAATTGCCACATCACTGTGTTCAGATGGGAGCTGCATTTTAACTAGCTATGTGGTCCAGGATGTCTTAGGTGGAGGGAGGTAAATTAAAAGGAGTTGGATTGAGTTTCTCCTCTGCCTCAACATGCAGTTGCCAGGTGATACCATAAATTAATACTTAGCAAAATTGGTAGAATCTGGTGGTTTCAAATGCAAACTCTGGATTAAAAAGGTAACATAGAACAGTTGCTATAAATACCAGTATTTAACAAACAGGCATAAAAGGGTAACCTACATTGTTTGTTTAAAGTTTAATTTATTGTTGGCAGCTACCTTTGAGGTTATTGTGAAACCCTATGTAAAATTCCTGTAAATCCATGATCTCTTTACTTCAAAGCATTTCTCCTTTCTTTCCTTGAATATGCTTTTGTGTGTGGCAGATCAGCCTAGCAATAGACATATAACTGAGTTATCCAGCTGAAAGGGATGTAATAGAGGCACAGCGCATCTAAATCTACAGCAAAGAAAACAAGAGAGTTCAGTCTCTTGTGTAACTTGAGCCCAGAGAGCCCAGAGATCAGGCTGAACATATTATGTGACGTACCTGAGTGTGCAAGCTGTACAAATGTGAAAGGATTTTGACTATTACCAACTGCATCCTAGTGTCACTGACTTCTCTATTTGTCCTATTTTCCAGACCGGGAAGTAATATATGTTGTGCATTTTGTGTAGTAAACTGTTGGGTAGCTCTGTTTAACGTAGACTGTAGTAATTTGTCAGTCAAGGAGATTATAAACATCTTCATTTTTTTATTGCAGTATTCTTGAAACCTATAACAGTCTTACAGACAAACACCTGGTTGGATATTTCAGCAATGCCAGGATAAGACGACATCTTCAGAAATCAGGACTGGTGAGACTGAAAACTTTTCCTCAATTCTACATTCAATTCAAAATGTTTTTATGCTTCCCCCCCACCCCATATTCCCTTTTGCTCATTTGAGTTTCCCTCTGCAAAGTGTTTCAGTTTGCAGATATACAGAATCACATTGGTTCACTCATGGTTTTTACACTGTGAAATGTAAGCATCTTTGACTTGTTTAAATAGCTTCAGTGTTATTTTTCAGAAGTGTTTAATGGAAAACTGAAGGATTTGGTAAAGGTGAATAAGCGGAACATTTTGTTAAAAAACCTGGTGCCCTCCTGGGTGTGACTCGTGTGCACAGACAGGTGCAGTAGGGCAGCAAGTGTTTGATCCTTGCCGCCCCTTGGGCAGTGGCCTGTGCAGGGTAAGGCTGAGCCCTGGGCTATCAGAAATGTGGCTGCTGCTCCTTCCATGGGGCTGGTGGAGCTCATGGGGTCAGAGATAACACAGCGCTGGAAGGTGAGCTCCACACCACGGCAGGGGCAGAGCAGGAGCAAACCAGAGGGAGGAAGCGGTCTTCTGGGAAATTGTATTGTTTCAAAATGTGCTTTATTTCATCTTCTCCTTTTCAGTAGCATTCCGTTTGTGTCTGGCAGATCTCCAGGAGTGGCAGAATCATACCGGAGAAGGAATACCGCCTCAATGCCATAAGGAGGGACCACCAGAGACACGTCCAGGGCTGCTTGGCTGATGCCATATATCATAAAGTCCTTGACATTGAGGTGTGCCCTTACTGAGGATGTGTGAGCCTGTTGCAATCTTGTTGTTGTATTTCTAAAGTCCCATACTGTCACAACCATATTTCTAAAGTCTCGTAGCTTCTCAGTGATACTTCCTGGGGGCAGTTCTTCACAGCTCTGACTTCTTCTCCTGCTTGTTACTCCTTCTTTGTCAGGGCTCCTTGTCAGCTCAGCTTGACTGGCCAAGCCCAGCCCTTTTATCCCAGTTATCTTCACTGGCTACAGCTGCAGCCCAATTAAGGACATCGCAGCTGCAGCCCATCGAGAACAACCAGGGCTTATCGGGGCAAGGCCCATATACAAATATTCAATATAAAATACGTATTTTACTAAGACTCCTACTATATGAGCCTTCTTGGGTGTTTCCCTACTGACAGCCAGGGGCTGCTGACGTGTACTGGGCTGTTTTCCATGTGTGCCCTTGTGCTCCCCTGGAAGGCTCTTTCCTGCTGGGAAAAAGGACAGACTTTGTGCTTGAGGCTCCCCACATGAAACCTCTCATTGTCAAACCATGCTATTGTGAGAGCAGGCACTGCCCTGCCTTCCTTATTGCTTTTTGACAGCTCTCAGATTATGAGATGATATTCACAGGGCTAGTTTGCTTAACAAAATTCTGATAAAAACAAACCAGCTTGAACATATTTATATATATGCTGTCTGAGTACAAAATCTGGGCACATTCCTATGGGATATCAGGAATGGAGCTGGTTCCTACAACTTTACCAACTGTACCAGTGCTCAGTTGTTCCCTTGGCGGCGTGAATACATGCAGGTGAAATGCAAATAGATTCAATACACAGTAGTTTTATTAGAGGGCTCAATGAGAGTAGTGGCCAGGGAGAAGGCATGGGACAAGCAGGACAGAAGCAAGAGGTCTTGCACACACTGACATCTCATGATGGCCAGTAATGGGATTTCTCTTCCTCTGATATTGATAGCATCATCATCAGCTGGGGATTAACAGGAGACTTGACTGTTCTGCAAGGAAAGAGACGATGGAGTCAGCCAAGGTAAGGCTTCAGCAGTTTTGCTGTGTTGGGTGGTAACCGTGGGCCTGACCAGTGGTTCATTGAGACAAGTGCTCTGCCTCTGATGTGGAAAAGTCCAAGAAACAGGCAAGCAGAGGATGATCCCGCCCCAGTTACATCTCCTTTGTCCAGAAGTTCAGGAGCTTCCATTTATGCATTTAATTCCTTCTGAATCTAGTTATTCTTCTCCTTCTGCTGTGCTCTTGTTTGGGTGATTTAATAATGAATTGCATGAAATGGTATCTCCTTGCATTTCTGCATAGTAATAAATGTATCTGCTGTCTGATATGTCTGTTCGATGCTCCATTGTTCTCGGTATGACAAAAGTTATTAAATGCTCTCTTTTTCCAAGGCATCTGTGGTTTTACATACGTTCTTCACATTCCTTCTCAGTTTTCCAAGCTGAAGGTCCTCAGTCTGAATTTTTCTTACGTGAACCACTCCAGGCTTCTCATTACCGTTGCTATTTTTTTACCCTTTCTCGTTCTACTATTTCTGTTTTGAAATGGGGAACCATACCAGAATGAATAATTCAAGATATGTTCTCCTCCCAGTAATTCTAGACCTCTCTGCTTTTGACTGCTGATGAGCACTGAGCTCATGTGTTTGGTTGTTTGCCTCTCCACAGAATTTGGGCAGAACTGGCATGTGAGAAATCAAAGAGTTTTAGGAGTCTTTATTTAGCTGTCATGTAGGTTGAACTTGATTCTCTAGTTATCGTCATGGAAATCCCATAGAAGTCATTGGTTATTCTCCCCATGCAATCACCTGAATTCATATGGGAAAAGTCATCCTCATTTTGGCAGAAACATGCTCAGAATTTTATTTCTGTATTAGGAACCTGAGTGCTTTGAGAAGAGTGCCTTGAGAAGGTGGCTGCTTCATTGAGCAGCTGGTAAACAATGTCAGGTGTGTTAAACTGTAAATAATACATCTATAAGCAAATCATGGGGTAAAGAGAGGAGGAGATTTTCCTGAAAGACACTGATAACTATGGAAATTGCAAAGGTGTCATTTGCTGATGGAACTCCTGTGGTAGGGAGTCACCCCATGGAAGCAGTGATTCAGGCACCCTGTCAAGGGATCCTGGGCTTGAATAATTTTGGAATGTAAACCAGAACTGCTTCCTTCAGAAAGACACATGCAGACACCTGATCTGTGTGTGCTGTGCTGCCATGCTGGGGTGCAGGAGCCTGGCTGGAGCCAGTGGTGTAATTTAATTCTCGCCTCATCTGTTCAGTGAATTCATCTGAGTCGCTCATCTGAAAGGAAAGGAGAAAGGCAGATGGCTGAGCAAGGGAGGGTGAGAGACAGGGATGTCTGTTTCCAGTGGGGCAGCCATCCCAGCACTGGGCTGGTGAGACGAGGAGGTGGGGAGAGGCTGCAGTCACCGCAGGAAAGTGGCAGGTGCGCTCAAGTTTAAAAAAGAAAGAGACCTTCAAACAAACCAAGAATTGTGAGATACACAGAAACAGACATGAATTGATTCTAGTGGGTCAGCAGCTGGAGAGAGCTGCAGGAAAATGAATCAGAGGTGGGGACAAGTCTTTTTGCTTGTCCCTCACACTTTCCCATGATTTTCTTTCTTTCCTTAACCAGCTGTTCCATCGGGCCCAGGCCAGCTGATCGTCACAGCTGTCCAGTGACAGACAGATGTAATGAGACAGACATCCCTGGTTTTGGATGCAGTGCCTCAGGGACATAAATTCCCTTTCTTTCAGATCGAGCGCTTGATGGGACAAGTGTCCCCCATGTACGCCCCCCACCCGCCCGTCGCCCCCAGGAACCACCACGCGCTCTGTCCCTTGGTGTCCGGAGAGCGGACCGGGCGCTCGCTGCGGGTGAGTCCACCAGCTCTCCATGGGCTGCCATGGGGCACAGACAGCTGAGTGTGCCCAGGGAGCCCAGCACAGGGCACTCACTGCCTGGGGCATTCTGCCATGGGGGCACAGACAGCT